CTTCTATCTTTAGAGTACATTGATGACCGCGAAGAGAACACCCACATTACCGACCCATCATGAACGCTATCACCTTGATGCTTTTGGGGGTCGCTCTATGGCTGTGCCCTTCCCTGTCCTCGGCCCCGGGATGGAAATAAATGAAAGAACCCCATACAATCCGGGTACGACTGACCCTAAACGTCTGCAGGTCCTAATTAAGAATCTTTTTCTCTCCTAATCCACTGCAAAGTTCTTTGGTATTTAGTACTTAAAGGTCAGGAAACGGATCGTCTAGGTAAAGCGTCGCCTGCAGCCACAGTCCCGAGGTCTGGGGGCCGCAAGGCGCTTCTTCTCGGGATTCAGACGCCGGCTATTGGCGCCATTGGCTAAGCGCCAGACGCTCGCGTCTCGGGCCTCAGTTTGCACACCCGATCTCCACAGGCTGGGCGTGGGGCAGGGCCCATTCTCCGTGAAGAGGTCAAGGAGCCTTGTGTCCTGGCGTCCCCGTATCCCGGGACCTCTCTCTTTCCCAGCACTACCTCACAGGTCTGTTTACCTCATCCTTGCTTCGCGTTCTGGCACCAAATGTCTCTCACACCCCGCGCACCTCAGCTCGGCTGCCTGTGCGGGCGGTGTACGTCGCAACGCTGGAAGGGAGCCTAGGGCGGGATCCGATGTAAGGGGCAGGGACCTCTTCGCTAGGCAGCAATCAGGGCGCCAAGGGCGCCAGGGAGCCGTGACCGACAGGCGTGGGGCGGAGTTTGCGATGGCCGAGGTGGGAGGGGCGCTGGGGGGGACAGCAAGTGCAGCTGCTTCAGGCTGAGGTGGCAGATGGTAGTGAACGACGTCGGAGCCAGAAGGTTATGATGAATGGACCGGCGGGACTCTCGCACCTGGACCGTCGCGAACGAGTTCTCAAATTAGGCGAGAGTTTCGAGAAGCGGCCGCGCTGCGCCTTCCACTGTGCGCTGTAAGTGAGGACTGCCCGGGGGGGGCTGGCGGGGAAGTCTTGTCTCCTGGTCCGGGGAGTAGAGGCACAAAGTCCTTTGAGTACTGTTCCCACAGCCCCCTTACTCATCCAGAGATTGGGGCTGGGGCAGCATGATCTGCTACCGGCTGGAGATTTGGGGTAATCAGTGCTCGGGGACGGATCGGTGCACGGGAGACGGGTCCGTGCAAGGACTTGGCGTCCGGCAGGTGCAGGTAAACCGTGGGCGGATTTAACAACAGGGAAGCGCTGTGAAGGTCTGTGCGGGTGACTGTGGGGACTAGCATGACAGATGGGTGATGCCGAGATGGCACGGACACAGAAAGATGACAGATGGACTAAGGGGCCAGGTGAGTGAGGGCAAAGGGAATGCCTTAGGGCTGAAGGACACACTCCCTTCATCTTTTTCATCTCTGGCTGATGAGGGGTCTTTTTAGTGCGTTCTCGGGGAGAGGTGCTCAACTGTCTCAAGAGTCTGTCTCTCTTTGGACCCCCAGATTTCATTGTCAGTTATGAAATACTATCGAAGTAATGGAGGGTGTGATATTAATTTCTTTATTTGGAAGATTTTTACCTCCCTATGATTTCTACCTTTGGGTTTTCCTTATGCCCTCTGGAACTAGTTTTAATAAATTATTCACTTTTCTCTTGTTGAAACATAGGTTAAAAAGGATCCCTTTTGTTTTAATACTTGGATAATAGATCCAGGGAGAAAAATATAGCATATATGATTTTTTTTGCAAAATATTCTTTTTTTTTTTTTTGCATAATGGCTCTCATAGATATCTAAAGCAGGAAGGAAACTGTGAGATCATTGAGTCATAACCTGTAATTTTTTTCTGTGGCAAAATTGTAAAGTAGGTATTTTTTTTCACTTCCTTTTTCCAGCTCAGCCCAACCCTTCCTTACTGTCTCATTCTCCTACCTTTCTCAGTCATGCTGTCAGGTTGTCTAGAAACTTTAATGGTTTTTTTTACTCTGAAATGTTCTGTGACTCAAAACACCTAATTAAAACTTTGCTTGAGTTGTGGACAGTCTAGTTATTGTAATTCAGAAACTCCAAGAACATATTTACATTTTACAAAAGGGTTTTATTAAGCAAAATTAGCAGCTACTTGGAAGAATGAATGGGGGAGACCTTCGCCAACAGATGATCTTCAACAGTGTCCCCTGTTTATTCTGCCTTATATAACCATACTCTGTCACCCAAAGCTCTCCACAAGGAGACAGCTAGTGCTGTGCAGACTCTTAAGTTTCTCTTTCTCTTCAGCTCAATTTTGAAAAGTAAGATATGGTTCTTATCTGGTTTCTCCATGCCCTTTTCTCAAATACTATCTCCTCATTTTTCCTGTTCCTTCTCAGGTATGTGGTAATCTTAGTATTAATTTTTCAAGTTACAAAGTTTAAGATTATAAAAATTTGCTCAAGAATATTTTATACAAGTTAGGTATACATTCTTTTCTTAAAGGCATGAGCCCCAAATTAAATGAATAAAAAATAGTCTTTGAAAAGTATCTTACAGGTGCCTTTCATTTGTTAAGGTTTTATTTATCTATTTTGCAGTGCTAGGAATAGAAACCAGGGCCCTATGCATTCTAGGCAAGCACTGTATCACTGAGCTATATTCGTAGCTCTAGCAAAGTTCTTAAAATGCCAGAATCACATTTTCAGAGTCGTTTCAAGAATGACAATAAAAATATATAAAATAATAATAATAAATAAAACTAGATGTTTAAATGCACGCTTAGTCTTGTGTAAGACAATAGAGATGTTTTCAGATTTTTTACTGAAGTAGGTATAGTAATGGCACAGAATCATGTTGGCTTTATTTAAATAAAACCTGTCATTATCCTTCAGAACAGGTTCCTTTCCAGTGTGATTCTCACTCTTTAGAAGTCAAAGTGAGAGATGGAAAGTATAAAATAGAGACTATGACATTTATTTAGGGCAGGGCAGGAGGATCTAATTTATAACAACACTCAACAATGTATTTTGAGAGAAGCATATTTTCTGTCTTTACATACAGGGGCAGTTTGCCTGTTTGATATGCTGAGGCTTCAGATGAACCCAGTTGTGAATCCTGATCTCCCTCTCTCTCTCTCTCCAGACATATATGTACACATATACACACATACATATAAATATATACACATATACATTTGTATATATACACACATATGTATGTATATATATGTATGTAATGTGATGTGACTTTGGAAACATTTGCTAGGCTGTCAGCCTCAGTGTTCTTATGTGTAAAATGGTAATAATAATGTCTACATTTTGGAATTTGTAAGAATTAAGATGCATAACCATCTAGCACAGTATTTGGAACATGGTAAAAATAAAATTCATGTGTGTATTAGGAGTTACCAATGAATGTAATTTACTCTAAACTTTTAAAAGAGTTTATTAGAGCTTGGCAATAGAGACCTATCAAAAGATAGTGTAGCAGTCTAGCATATGGTAGGAAGGACATGGATGTTTCTAACAATGATAAATACTGAGTGGCACAGATGATTCATGGGTAGAGTTTGAATAACAGGACTCATTAAAAATAATTTGTGATTGGGGTTAGCACTAGCTTTACAATTTTATGATATAAAGGTTAGTAAACAGTAAAGTTCTAAAGTCTTCAGGGATGCCACTGTGTTTTGTTTTGTTAGTACTGGCCTTTGAACTCAGGGTCTCAAGCTGACAGGTGCTCTATCACTTGAGCAATGCCCCCCTTGGTGATCCACTTTTACTGTCATGAAATGTAAAGTGATAAGCAGAGACTACAGAAAGATTGTCTTTCTATAGTTCTTTAAGTGAACTCCCCTCCAATAGTATGAGCAAAATCAAAAACTATGTCAATTAAAAGTAGTATTAAAATTATATTTACAGTTAAGGTTTTCTGATCAGTATAGCATATTAGAAAGAGTCTGGGTTTTGGAGTTCATTGATTTAGTTCAAATCATAGGAAACAAACTGATGATAGTACTTATGGATTTTTTATGACAATATTAACATTATGTGATGCTATGCCACTATAATCAGAAAATGTTAACTTTGAGAGAAAACTTAAATACAAGATAACAAAATGCTTTTCTATTTTCATGCAATGTAAGAAGTAATTATATTGTAAACTTGAAGAAAATTACATATATGAAAGAAATCCAGAGAGAATAGATAAGTGATAAAATTGGTAGTAGGATTTCCTAACCAAGGAGAACTAAAAACAAAACTAGTTGACTTAGAAGAGAATACATGTGACATTTGGAGTATATGGAAAGTATGAACATGGAATTGCTCAACAAATTCTTTAATTCTAGCACTATATGTAACCCCCTGTTGAAACTCAAAGTTACATAATTTAAAAAACTTGTTTGAAGGCAAAATAAAGACAGGACTATATGATATAATAAGTAATAAAGTAGAGTAAATTATTCCAATAGGATAATTAGAAATGTAAATAGGTTCAAAATAGTTTTGATAAACTTATTAATAAGAAATCCATGTTTATGATAAAACCGAGAGCACACAAGGGAGGGGTGAGGATAGGTAAGACACCTAAAAAACTAGCTAGCATTTGTTGCCCTTAACGCAGAGAAACTAAAGCAGATACCTTAAAGCAACTGAGGCCAATAGGAAAAGGGGAACAGGTACTAGAGAAAAGGTTAGATCAAAAAGAATTAACCTAGAAGGTAACACCCACGCACAGGAAATCAATGTGAGTCAATGCCCTGTATAGCTATCCTTATCTCAACCAGCAAAACCCCTTGTTCCTTCCTATTATTGCTTATACTCTCTCTACAACAAAATTAGAGATAAGGGCAAAATAGTTTCTGCTGGGTATTGAGGGAGGGGAACGGGAGGGGGCGGAGTGGGTGGTAAGGGAGGGGGCGGGGGCAGGGGGGTGAAATGAACCAAGCCTTGTATACACATATGAATAATAAAAGAAAAATGAAAAAAAAAAAAGAAATCCATGTTTATTATTAAGTCAGCTATAGATCTTTTGAATGCATTTCTGTCTCTTGCAGTTACTTCATGCACTATAGGCATCAATATGAGATCCAGGGCCTTTGAACACCTTGAAATCATACAGAAGTTAGTATGTATATTCAAATATGTACTTTTGTATGGAGAGGATCTAGAGCTGGTCTATAATACTAATCAGGTTCTCATAGGGGCTTATGACTATCCCTCATCTCCTAATACTCCCCACCTACCCCACAAAAGTTAAGAACTATGGATATAAGACAAAAGGGTTATATAACATGAATGGGCAGGATATGTAGTTGGAGGTCCTAACTTGATCATTTAGTGACTTCATTACTTTCAAGGGCTCCCAACTAGTACAATATGTGTGAGAAAATTTAACTCAAAGATTTGTTGTGAAGGTCAAAAGTGATTATGTATTATAAAGAAAAAATACTTTGTAAACACTAAAGCAGAGGTTGCAGATTAACAGCCTGTAGCTTCAATTTTACTAGAAATTCTTTGGCCCATATTGTTGCTGTCTCATCTTGATTCAATTACACATGCCTAAAAATCAGAATTTTTAAAAAATCTGGATTTCTATCTTCTCAAAATCAAAAGGTAACCTGGCAACATTGAGCCTATATCTCCCCATTGGCAACAGTTGGTTAGAGCAGAGTTGTGCTTTTTTCATTCTTTAGGTCATTATGGCTCCCAAGGATCTACTTTACCACATGGATTACCTGTCTGATCTTTGCTGTAAGGCATCATTTGGTTGTAGTTAAATGACAATCATGTCTGTTAATATTGCCCCCTTTTCACTGTCAGAATATTAGAGGTCAGAGGGCTATGGTTTTACTCTAGGATGCCATTTCTGTGTTTCACATATTTACCATGGAGGATTCTTTGTCAAATATTAAGTAATGATTTCTCTCAGTGAGAACAGAGGTGCTAGTGAAAATAACAAAAGGAATATGGCAATATCTGCCCTAATGGAATAAAGAGCCTTGAAACAGATGAATCTAACCTATAGGAAATGATTAGAAAACAAATATTTTACACATAATTTAGCACCTTGAGCATACTTAAAATAAATTTGGAGGTGGCTTAGAGAAGGGTGAACAATATGAACCCAAGTCAACTATAAGGATTTCTTATATAGCTATTATGTTAATGTTACTGTGCAGGAGCCACAGTTCTGGAGTACAGTATGAACCACTGTGTTTTAGAAAATAACAGTTCAATTGTATACGCCCCCAAAAGAAGTAAATACTGTAGGTAGTTTGTGTTACGGTTTGATGAACAGTATCATAAACAAAACTGAGGGGAGAAGAAATTGAGATTCTGGACAGTGGGGAAAAGGCTGTGCCCAGAAATGCCCTCCAGAAAAGGAAACTTTGAAATAGGATTCAAATTCTAAGGCATGAAATCACAGAGAAAAGCAGAACAGGCTAAAGTTTTCTAATAGTTTAAACTTTAGTTGATTGAAAACTAGTTTGTCTTCTGCAAGAATGGAAGAGGATAGCTCTGAAAGATATTGTAAAAGAAGATAAAATGACTAAATGTGAGTGATGAAGGAGAGAGAATACTTAGATTGATTAGGAGACTTTGAAGGAGAATTAAAATTAAGTTGAGGATCAACAAAGTCTATTACCCTGGGCACCTACATAGGGCATGATGATAAATTGTAGTGAAAAATTTCTAGTAGCAATTACTTATTTCCACTATATATGTTCTTATAAAGTGACATTGATTCTCACTTCAGGTTCCCAAATGATATTTGCTACCTTAAACTTAGAAGTTTTCTTATCCCACTGACATTGATATATCTTAGCCAACCTTTCATCTTTTATTCTAACTGGTTGTGTGGTTGTGTGTTTCCTTATTCTACCTTTTGCAAATATTAATTGAATGATCTTGGGCAAAGCACTTTATTTCTTCTCCCCTTATCTGTACATTTGGGAATATTCACTACTTTACAGGGTTTTGCAAGGCCAAGAGATAAAAGTGATTAGGAAAAACTTTTAAAATTGATTTGTACATAAGTAATAGCTATTGTTATTGTTATTGTTTTATATTTATGTTCGGTTTTTTAGATTTTTCTGAGTTGTTTTCTGTGTTCTACTTTCTCATTATTTCTGTGACACCCACACTCAAGTTCTAATTTTTTCTTCAGCATTACTGACTTTTCATCATTTGATATTAATTCACACTTGTTTCCCTCAGTCCAAACCCTTGTTTAAGCATCTAAAACTTAACATTTTAATTATGTCTTTCATCTTTCTCACTTACCTTGTTACTACTAACAAATGCCCCAATTTATTTTTGGTCTAATTTCTGTCCTTTGGTTCCTCAGCTGTGCCTCCTGGGGACCCATTGTGAATCAAAACTCATAGTTTTCATATTGCTCATGCTAATTTTCATATCTGTTTCTTAAATATAGGGATAAACATTGAGATTTTAACAGAGAGCTTCTGTATGTATTCCTTTTTGAATTAAACAGCATGAAGAATAACTTATAAAGAATACTTTGTGTGAATTTTATATTCATTGAATTTATGCTTGCCTAAGGAAAGGAGGAATGGATTAAATTTCTTCTCATAGAGTTATTATAAGACTTAAATATGAAGTGTTAAGCATGATGCCTGGAATGTAGCAACTAAAGTATCATTTTATTATAATTATGTATGTGTCACATTATAAAAAAATGACAATTATTCTAATTGTCATTTGAGGCAGGGCCTGTCTTTATTTATTGGCAGTGATTATTTTGATGAATTTTGGAAGATTCTTTCCCAAGATCTGCCCTGTATAGTTCCCTAAATTCCACTGATGATTATCCATACTTTGGATGTAGATTTTTGTCTTTTGGGAGTTGTTAATATAAAGATAAATTTTTTGAGATGGGGTAATAACTGGAAGGGTCTTTGAGGACTGGTAATGGTTTTTGCTCCATTTTGTTTTGCATTGCTAAGGATTGAACCCAGAGCCTTGACCATGCTAGGCTAGCACTCTTATCACTGAGATGCATCCCCATGTTCTATTTCTTGATCTTATGGATGGCTACCCACCTGTGTCACTTTGTGAAAGTTCATCAAGCTTATGTTTGTATTCTATTTCACATGTATGCTATATTTTAATGAATTATTAACTGAAAAAAATATAACATTAGGGATTATGATCAGTCATTGATGTCTACTGATAGAAATTTTAAAAATGACTTTCATATCATATAGGTTTTAAAGCTTGTTTAGTATGTGGTAAATCAGCACCTTAAATTCCTTCTATGTGATAGATTTTAATGGCATCATTTGAACTATGATTTAATTCAGAATTAAATTTAAGGGGCTGAGGTTGTGACTCAAGTGGGTAGAACACCTGCCTAGTAAGCATGAGGCCTTGAGGTCAAACCCCAGTACCACTAGGAAAAAGAAAAAGCAAAATTAAAGTTCTTCATAAGGAAGATTTGGTGGTTTAAAAATATTTATAGGGAAAAAAGACCAAAACTTTAAAAAGTATTTCCTATATAAGTTTTTATCAAGTTGTCAAACTACTACCTTATTTAGCTTTTAGCAGTATTACATCTTAGTGTAGTTCATGTTCATGTAAACAGATTCTAGTATTGTTTGAAGAATACTGTTTTAGACTCAGAATTAAACATACAGAAATAAAATGGATTCTACTTTGTTTATTTGCAATATGAAGACTCTTTTAGATCATTTTAATTACTGGCTTTTGAAAAATTATTCACTACTCTGAGGCATGCTCATCTTTTTGATATCCAATTACTGTTCTGTCTTCTAAAAATCAGTATTGTATCCTTTTTAGATGACTTCAAACCTGCTTCTATTGACACTTCTTGTGAAGGAGACCTTGAGGTTGGCAAAGGTGAACAGGTGACAATAACTCTACCAAATATAGAAGTAAGTATTTCTATACATTAAAACTAAAAGGATCTTTTTTTTTTGCAGAATTTCCAATAAGTTTAAACGAAAATATTTGCACAATATATATAGTGGTGTTAGGTAAAAGTAATTAATAAGTATAGCAAAACAAAAACTCTGTATTTCAAAGTACTTGGGGTGAAATAATTTTAAAATATTTAATTCATATAGTAGTTTCAAATACTATCATAGCAATTGATTTTAAAAGATTGGAGATCTAAACAAAAATTTATTAAATTCTTATTATGAGCCAGATTTTATTTCCAAACTAGGGATAATAACATGTCACTTGCCTTCTAGTCCTAACTCATTATGGTAGGCAGACACATAAATATCTAGGGTTATACATAGAGTATATGCACAATTCTGCATAAGCATATAGTGGAATCAAATACTCTGCCTGATAGAATCTTGAAAGGCTTCATAAAGAAAACAATCTTTAAAGGACAAGTGGGATTTTAATGGGTAGATGGGGAATAGAATACTCTAGTGAAATGGAATAATATGTGAAAGGCTCTATTACTGAAAGAGTAAGAAGTTTGTGGAACAACCCCAGCCCACGCATAGCATTCCCACTCCACATTAAATGGAGAAACCAGGAGGGCTCCCACTCTGCCAGACACCAGCTCCTATCCTGCTTGGGAGAAGCAGACCACCAGGTGAGCTAAGCAGCACACAGTACTCCCACAGACAACCCTGGGCCAGATCAACAAAGCCCCCTGGACAGACTGACCCCCACCCAGGGAAAAAAAAAGAGAAAAAACCAAACTGAATAATAAACAAGCAGCTGAAGAAAAAAAAAAGACACAAAACAAAGAGGGCGGGGCGCCCTGAGCTCTGCAGAGTGGGGGAGGAGCAATCCCTCATGCGAACTGTAAATAAACAAGCTGGCCAGAGAAGGCAGGAGTCGCAGCACCCACCCAGCAACCTTGGAGAGAGGAAAGCTTGTAAGAGCAGCTGTAGTGAGGAAAGCTCCATTGGAGAGAGGGGGTAGGGACACTTCTCCACGTGAACTGTAAATAAACAAGCCGGCTGGAGAAGGCAGGAGTGGCACCACATCCCCCAGTATGCTTGGAGAGGGGAAGGCTTGTAACAGCGGCTGTCATGTGGACTAATTGAATTCCCCATGCGAACTGTAAATAAATAATAAAAAGACAGCAATTGCAAAAGGCAGGTAGGACTGTATACTGGAGAAAACAAAAGAGACATGTGTCCAGGAGAACTCTAAATAAACAAAGCCTGCAGCAGCAGATGGCTGACAGTAGGAGGCATGTGAGCGACAGCCTCAGATAGACATTCACAAAGCTGTCTCCAGACTCCCCTTTTTTTTTTTCTCTTCCTTTGATGAGGCAACAATACTGGATGCTGAAGGACTAATTGAAACTGTATTGCATTTGAACTTGGGATTTTTTTTTTGTTTGCTTTTTGTTTTTTTGTTTTTTCCCCTTTGATGAGAAAATGACAGAACTACTTCACAAATACTGAGAAGTCTTCAGGACTGGAGGCTGAAGTACTAACACCAAAACTATTAAGACTGAAACTTTATTGCATTTGAACTTGGGTTTTTTTTTTTTTTCTTTATCCTCTCTCTGTCTCTCTAATGCCTGTTTAGCTTAGTGTTGATTTGTACACTATCTCCCTGTTTATTTCTTTGGCTCTGTTTTTTTTTTTGTTTGTTTGGGGTTTTTTGGTTTGTTAGTTTGTTTGTTTTGTTTTGTTTCCCTTTTTCTTTACCTTCTTTGCTTTCCCTATCCTCTCACCCTTCCATTCTAGATATCACCATTGTTATTATTACAAGCTACACAATACTGAATTACACACAGTACAGGAACAGTGACAATAGCAAGGGCAATGATGGGAAGACAGAAAAAAGAGGGAAACATTTTCCCCGCAATAATAAATTAGTACAGGAGCCAGAAGGAAATGAAGAAATCAGATATCCAGATCCAGACTCCAACAAAACGAAGAACCCAATGAAGCCCACAAGAATACTCTGAAAGAAGAAATCCTGCAAGTAATCAGTGAGAATTTTATAGAGATGATACTGGATATGGTCAACCAAAATGTATAAGAGACACTCAAGAAATTCCAAGACAACAAAAATAGAGGATTTGAGAAAGCACAAGAACAAATAAAAGAAACCATAGAAGCACTGTGTAAACACCAAAGTGAAACAAAGAACACAATAATAAAGAGATAAATGAACTTAGGATGAAAATACAATATTAAAGAGGAAGTGACTCAGGATATGGAAAACCTCAGAAAAAAGAATGAAACGGAAGTGCAAAACAAAATGGAAGGCCAATCCAGCAGACTAGAACAAGCAGAAGACAGAATTTCAGAACTCAAAGATGAAATGGTAATTAAAGGAAAACCGAAGAACTATTAGCTCAACAACTTAAGACCAGTGAAAAGAAAATGCAAAATACCAAACCTGAGAATCATGGGCATTGAAGGAGAAGAGGTGCAAGAAAAAGGAATGTGTAATGTATTCAACAAAATAATTACAGAAAATTTCCCAAATCTAGAGACAACTATGCCCATACAGGTACAGGAAACCTCCAGAACTCCAAACAGACGTGACCAAAATAGAACTACCCCACGACATATTATCATTAAAACAACAAGTACAGAGACTAGAGAAAGAATATTGAAGGCTGTAAGAGAGGAAAAAACAAATAACATACAAAAGTAAACCCATCAAAATCACAGCAGACTTCTCAACAGAAACATTAAAAGCAAGAAGAGCTTGGAGTGAGGTCTTCCGGGCACTGAATGAAAATAACTTCAACCCTAGGATACTCTACCCAGCAAAACTATCATTCAAAATAGATGGAGCAATAAAAGTCTTCCATGATAAGCAGAAACTAAAACAATATATAACCACAAAGCCACCACTACAAAAGATTCTTCAAGGGATTCTGCACACAGAAAGTGAAACCCAACATAACCATGAAAGGGCAGGCAGCACCAAACTACAGGAAAAGAAAAAGCAAGAAAGTAGAGAGTAACATCGATTTAGCTACACACAATCAAACCCTCAAACAACTAAGAGAACTAAATGACAGGAATCACCACATACCTGTCAATACTAACACTTAGTGTTAACGGACTAAATTCCCCCATCAAAAGACACTGTTTGACAAACTGGATTAAAAAGAAAGATCCAAAAATTTGTTGCTTACAGGAGACTCATCTCATTGATAGAAATAAGCATAGGCTTAGGATGAAAGGCTGGAAGAACATTTACCAAGCCAATGACCCCTGAAAACAGGCAGGAGTAGCAATACTTATCTCTGACAAAGTAGACTTCAAACCTACATTGATCAAATGAGATAAAGAAGGACATTCCATACTAATAAAAGGGGAAATAGACCAAAAGGAAATAACAGTTATCAACCTATGTGCACTCAATGTCAACACACCCAATTTCATCAAACATACCCTGAAGGACCTAAAAGCATATACTAACTCCAACACAGTGGTTGTGGGAGACTTTAACACCCCACCATCATAGATAGGTAATCCAAACAAAAAAATCAATAAAGAAATCCAAGATCTAAAACATACCATAGATCAAATGGACCTAGTTGATGTTTACAGAACATTTCATCCAACTTCTACACAATATACATTCTTCTCAGCAGCCCATGGAACCTTCTCCAAAATAGATCATATCCTACAACACAAAGCAAGCCTCATCAAATATAAGAAAATAGAAATTATACTATGCATTCTATCTGATCACAATGCAATAAAACTAAACTCCACAATAAAAATAAAGACAAAAAACATGCAAACAGCTGGAAACTGAATAACTCATTGCTTAATGAACAATGGGTCATTGATGAAATAAAAGAGGAAATTAAAAGGTTCCTGGAAGTCAATGAAAATGAAAACACAACCTACCAGAACCTATGGGACACAGCAAAGGCAGTCCTGAGAGGAAAGTTTAAAGCCATGAGTGCATATATTAAAAAAAACTGAAAGATCTCAAATTAATGACCTAATGATACATCTCAAATTCCTAGAAAAACAAGAACAAGCAAATCCCAAACAAATAGAAGGAGAAAAATAATAAAAATAAGAGCTGAAATCAATGAAATAGAAACCAAAAAAAACATGCAAAGAATTAATGAAACAAAAAGTTGGTTCTTTGAAAAAATAAACAAGATCAATAGACTCCTGGCAAACCTGACTAAAATGAGGAGAGAAAAAACCGAAATTAGTAAAATCAGGAATGTAAGAGGGGAGATAACAACAAATACCATGGAAGTCCAGGAAATCATCAGAGACTACTTTAAGAACCTATATTCAAATAAATTTGAAAATCTTGAAGAAATGGACAGATTTCTATCTGATACTATGATCATCCAAAACTGAACCAAGAGGACATTAAACACCTGAATAGATCTATAACACAAAATGAAATTGAAGCAGCAATCAAGAGTCTCCCAAAAAAGAAAAGTCCAGGACCTGATGGATTCTCTGCTGAATTCTATCAGACCTTTAAAGAAGAACTATACAACCCTCCTTAAACTGTTCCATGAAATAGAAAGGAAGGAAAACTGCCTAACACATTTTATGAAGCCAGTATTACACTTATCCCAAAACCAGGCAAAGACACCTCCAAAAAGGAGAACTATAGGCCAATCTCCTTAATGAACATTGATGCAAAAATCCTCAACAAAATAATGGCAAACCGAATTCAGCAACACATCAAAAAGATTATTCACCACGACCAAGTAGGCTTCATCCCAGGGATGCAGGGGTGGTTCAACATACGAAAATCAATAAACGTAATAAACCACATTAACAGAAGCAAAGACAAAAACCACTTGATCATCTCAATAGATGCAGAAAAAGCCTTTGATAAGATCCAACACCATTTCATGATAAAAGCTCTAAGAAAACTAGGAATAGAAGGAAAGTACCTCAACATTATAAAAGCTATATATGACAAACCTACAGCCAGCATT